GATAAATATCACTGCAGCTCGACATCACTGGCCTGCTTCCTCTAAATCGCAACTGAGGTGTTGTGTGTGCTTTTCGGGTGGGAAGCGGTCTAGCGTTCGTACGAAGTGCGTGAGCTGCGACGTCGGACTCTGCATTTCGGAATGTTTTCGGCAGTACCATACGAAGGCCACATTACCATAGATGACGCAGGAGGGAAGGCTGTTTCCTCATGAAGATGGTGAACATATATCACGTAAGTAGAGCAAAAATTTAATTTTAAATTTAATTTTAAAAAAATCTTTACACGCGTGCAATGCGCGAAATCATATGAGGTTGTTCGGCCACATGACGTCTGTAGATTACATTAGATCATGCAGGAGGGAAGGCTGTCACCTTATAAAGGTTGTGACCAAAAATTATGTAAATAGAACAACAATTTATATTTTGAATTTAATTAAAAAAAAAATCTTTACATGCGTGGAATGCGCGACATCATATGATTTCGTTCTTCAATTTGTCCTTACTTTTAACGTCATATGACGTCACTAGATTATATTAGATCATGCAGGAAGGAAGCCTGTCTCCTTATAAAGGTGGTGACCAAAAATCATGTAAATAGAACAACAATTTATATTTTTAATATAATATTAAAAAAAATCTTACACGCGTGGAATTCACGACATCATATGATGACTTTCGGCCAGCTGCCCTAACTTTTAACGACATCATATGATGACGTTCGTCCGATAAAGGTTAATGGCAGACTTCACTGCATCCACCCAAACTGACAGCAGTTCTATGATGTGTCAGTTGGATGGATACATGTTTTTTTTAACAATGGTGAAGTAAATGGCTCTACAGACATGAATGAAATTCATATGTTACATAGAACAAACCTATGGATGTATACAACATTTACTCAGTTTGGTTGAATAATTATATAAAAAATATATTTTCGATTTTTTACATTAAAACAGGCATTTCTACGTTCACAACATGTCCTGAAAGTACCCAATGGTGCTTTTGCTCAATTTTTCAAATTCATTAATAGCCATGAAATTCGTCAGATTTAAATTCATTACATTATAACATACGGAATGAACTTCAATTTACTGTACAAAAACTAGAGAAAAGGCTTCACTTTCTGTAATAAAGGACTGAAAATCGGTGACTTCTCGTGCCACAAGGTAACACTAGATCAGCCGTCAATTAGTACAAAAGATGGGATCAATCTGCAGTACAAGAAAAGGCAGCAGGATTATATTCAACACCATTTCCAGTAAAAATAGTATGACTAAATTAAAAATTAAATGCCTGTATTCTTAACATTAAAAATGTTATTATTTTTCTATGTAACAAACAAAGTAAACAATTTGTATGCATATGTAAGAGATGTTCTATAGGACTTACATGAGTTTCATTCAAGTCTATAGAGATGTTCATTTTTACCATTTAAAAAGGTATTATTCAGCACTAATCAATATTTCCACCTCTGCATGTCTTATACACATCTATTATACAGGTCTGTAAAAACATAAGCCGTATAACTTGTGAGGATTATCTGTAACACATGCCCTTTCTATACATGCTTTGAAAAGATAGAGCTTCATGTGCAGGATCAAGTGCGCGAATTAACCAAAGTACCTAAATTCAGAACTGTAAGCTCACAGTGGGAAATGCTGACCAACATAGTGATATAACTACAAGTTTCTAAGCAGTCTTCTAATAACTTCCTATGGCAGCTCAGCACAAGCTATTCTGTAATAAAGATGATATTATTTTGAATTGTTTCATTTTTGGTCCGTTACACTATCAATCACAAAGTTAATAGAAAGTCCGTCGAGTGTAACAATTTGTAGGTCACTTCTTTATCACTTCTGCCTTACATGTTTCGGTTTGACACAACCATCATCAGAGGCACTTACTACAATTATGAAAACACTGTCATTGTTTATGATGTTCACAGTTATGTTTGTTGTCTGGACGCTGCTACAATATGTTGACGTGTAAAAGCACAACACTTGCTAGGATAGTTGAGTACACTATCAATTCTCACTTTCCATCCGAAACTGTTTTTAAGTTAAAACGCTAATGTTAAAATATTTAAAATATTTAAAACATTTGATGTAAAATGCTAAGCTCCTCCTTGTTAATTCATCCCGAAGACGGGAGATGTCAGCTTGAGGTTGTATGGCTGCAAAGATATTGTATTACATTAGGTTTTATATAT